ATTGTGTAAAGATCTCAAAATCTGAAACACAATTTTTTCTTGTCTAAAACAACTTTTCAAAATTATTTCTGGTATGATTCTGTCCTTCTTTCCCTTAATTGCTAGACATTCATGACAACTTAAATATTTCTTCCGGCTTTGGATAATCCCATGGCTCCACAAGGCCAGTTCTACTAATGAAGCTGAAGGCAGACATTAATTCGTAAGAAAAAGTTCATTTTTAATTGTCATTTATTAGTTACTGAAGGTTTTTCTTTTCATATGAATTACTGATGACTACTAATGATGTAGAGAAAACAGGTAAAACCATGAAAGTCTTCGCTGAATATAAAGTTTACATACGTCGTCCTTTCTCAGCTGAAGAAGGTAAATTTTCCCATGTTCTTCAATCCGTCTCACACACACAAAGATTGCTGCCTTTGAATGACTGCACGCTAAAATTTTACATAAAAGCGCTCCCTCATCTCTAAGCGATTGGCTCTAGCTTAAACGTTGGCAAATTGACATGCACTAGTGCAGCTCTTCTCATGGTGACCAATATTTATTTTTACTGCAATTAGCAATACACTTAAAGGGGTCATTACAATGATGTACCTGTTTCAAAAATAGAAAACCTCCTCCTTTAACATACTCTTCACATGCTAATTCCTAGAGGTCAGTCTCTCACCTATGATGTGATCGCTGGCTAGTCTTCTAATGGAAATGTGCTAGCTTGTGTATTCTGAAATCAATAAATATTTAACTTCATCGATACTCTACACGTGAAATGTAAAATCGAAAATGCCAGGCTTCAGTTTCCTCCATATGATGATGGAGTCCTTGGTGAGAATTTTAATTTGTTCTGTTTAAATTTCTTTGCTTAGAACTGTTACTTTATTGTCTTACATTCTTCTGTTGAGGCGGCAATCTTACCCTTCGCAGTCTCAGCAATGTGACTTCTTTTTCAATTCTGCGTTTCACCTCGTGCTGCTTAGAACTAAATTCCCTCCTCAAATAATTTCAAATTCTACACTAAGGATGTAGTGTTAAGATTTCAACATCCCTGTACAATCTGAATGATTGCACACATCCCATATATTTACACCCCCCACATATTTCTATACACCATATCTTACTTTACACCCCCCATATATTTCACAACTCTGCACTTTTGTGGGATGCACTTAACTTAAAAATGCTGGCCTCCTTCAAGTCTACCTTTCAAGCGTTAATTTCATTAATCAATATTATTTAATATCAGGGATTGCTTATTTGCAACATGCTCTTTTACTTCTTAGTATCCTCGCATAACCAATGAGAATGCCTTGCACGCAAGTATTACTGAGGTCTCAGAAACTGGATGGCCAGGCACAGTGGCTCACACTGTGAGTCAGTGTGGAAGACTGAGGCAGGTGGACTGCGTGAGCCCAGGGCTTTAATGGCGGCTATGGCAATGTAATGAGATCCTGTCTCTACAAAAATAAGAAACAAGAAAAACAGATTTAGCTATGTGTGGTGGTGCATGCCTGCAGTCACAGCAACGCAGCAAGAGCTTGAACCCAGGAATTTGAGAGCGTAGGGAGCTATCATTGCACCAGCGCACTCTGGGCTGGTGAGAGCAAGACTCCAACCCACAAAGAAACGGAACAAACAATTTTTAGATTGGTATGCCGGGGGAACACTACCAAGGGACCAAGGAGATGGAAGAATTCCTTAAATTAAGAAGCCTTCTATCAAACAATACCGCTGGGAATTTTAGGAGAAATTAAGAGGAATTCTCCAGCAAACACGAGATTAAAACTCATGTTTTCTCACAATGTGAACCCCGGCACTTCGGGAGACAGAGGTGGGTGGATCATGTCGTCAAGAGATCAAGACCATCCTTGGCAACATGGTGAAACCGCATCTCTACCAAAAATACACAAATTAACTGGGCCGGGTGGCATGCGACTGTAGTCCCAGCTACTCGGGAGATCGAGGCAGGAGAATCGCTGGAACCTGGGAGGCAGAGGTTGCAGTGAGCTGAGATGACCCCACTGCACTCCAGTCTAGCGACAGAAGAAACCCTGAAACATAACACAAGAATCATTTTATTGGTGTGAGAGAGAGATGTGGGATAAATGCAGAGTGAAGAGAGAGCAGAATTTGATCAGTTAAATAGGTAAATACAATCTAGATAAGGACAAAAATATGTTAGGAGAAAAATGATAAATTACTGTTCCTATAATTCTGCTATGAGGAAAGCTGTATCGAAACATATGATTAGGGTCCACGAAATTCCATTCAAAGAAACTTAAATATTTACAAATCAAAAAATGACACTTCAGAAAAGTATGTTATCTTTAAAATTTGTATCATAACATACAATTCTTACAAATCCATTATGAAATATTAATTTTAAGAGTAGGCTATGTTCAATTTTAATAATCTTTAAGAATGGCCCATTTAACAACATGAAAATTTTCATATAGCTACAAAAAAGGTAGATATATTCTAATGCCTTGGTGTTGTCACAGGTAAGGAAATGCATATTCTCATATATGGCAGAGTAGTATTAATCTGCCCACTCCAGATCAATAGAGAAAAAAGTTACCACGTAATTATGTGCCTTAGAATGGAGCTACTCAGGAGGCTGAGGGAGGAGAATGGCATGAACCCGGGAGGCGGACATTGCAGTGAGCCGAGATGGCGCCACTGCACTCCAGTCTGGGTTACAGAGCGGGACTCCGTCTCAAAAAAGAAAGAAGAAGAGTGGAGCAGACAATGCAACTTCAACTTTAGAAAACATAGCTGATCAGTTCCACATGTGGTTGTTAAAACTCAAATGTTAGATTTTTGAAGGTGGGTTGCTAGAAAATACAATTGAGATACAGATCCAGGACTCAAAGGCCTCGAAATTCCCAGCCCTAGGCTGCTTGCCTGGCCTCCTCTCTGTTCCCTCTCTAACGCCGTCCCTCCCTCCCTGGAGTAGAACTGCAATGGATTGAGCCATAGGCCCTGGCTGATGATCTGGGGGACTGCAGAAGGGGGTCCACCGTAGGTCAGGTCACAGTTCAGAGCCCATTCCCCAGAGGCCAAGGAATGACCAGTGAGGTCCTTTCCCACGATGCACCTGCCACGGAACCCTCCTCAGCAATCTTGCCAAAACCCAGGCAGTCATTTTTTAGCCCAGCAGCTGAACGAGCTCAGGTAGGCAATGTTCTGCCTGCAGCTGGAGGCTCTATCTTTATGATCCCGGAACCACCGGACTGAAGTGCAATGAGACACCCCGTTCCCTGGGGGGAGAGGAGCCAGGAAGTTTCATGCCACACAGACCCTCCCACACACCAGCTCCCCTACTATGCTGGGAGGCACTCCTTACCAAGGATGCCAAAGCAATAGTCCTTCAGGATGACTTTCACTGTGGAAGTTAAAGTTGTGACAAAAGGAAATCTTCATTCAGCCGCCAGTAACTGGGGATGACTGAGTTCCTCCACCTGCCTGGCCAACAAGGAGAAACGGGATGGACTCGAAGCGACCATTTCATCTAGCTGGACTGAGGTGGCCTGCTAGCCGGAGTGAAGCATGAGTTTCCCATTCCCAGCTCTGCCACTGAGACACCGCGGGCCCCAGGGAGGCCTCAAACGGACTCAGACACTGGACCCCTCCCGCAGACCCAGGCTCCCCAGCCTGACCTGCACATCCATCGTGCAGCAAAGCAGGACTTCACCATGGTTTCTGACCCAGGACAACAACTGAGTGTGCCAAACAATTTACCTCTGGTCAAGGAGCCTCCAGACGACTCGTTGAGCAAGTCTCGTGACACCCTGCAATTTTCAAGAGCACAGAGAATCTGGAGCATCTGGCCTGTCGCCCTCGCTTGTTGCTTCTCTGTCGCTGTCTGTCGAGGAGGCAACCTCACAACTGTGGTGGTTTTTGGGGTGGGGAGAGCCAGGCCAAGAAACCTGCACTAACTAGGGAAAGGAGACAGAGGAAGTGGTTGCGGCCGAGGGCGGGGGGCGGGGTGATATAAGGCGGCTGCTTCCTCAGGGTTCAGGAGCCGCAGGAGGCCCTTGTGTGCTGGATGTTGGACACGCTCTGCTGACGTCCAGGTGTGTGGTGTCCTCTTGTCCTGGGCTTCCTGACGGGTGGGCCTGTCCACCTGAGGGAAGCCCTGTAGGTAGAAGGGGCTGCAGGGTCGTGCCTGGCGCTCCCTATGGGAATGGCTTGGGTGCAAAGGAGGTTATGTATGCTCAGGGCCTACACCCCTTTGGGTCCAGCGCCAGCAGGGGGGAGACAGGCGCTTCAGCGCTATGGGAGCCTCTGGGTCGGCAAGGCAGTGCACAACGGTGTGCACGCTGGCTGTCCATGGCCAGCCCTGGAGGCTGGCCTCCGGTACGTCTAGGGCATAGGACGGGAGCCCCTTTGGAATGCTCCTTTCCGTACAGCACCCTCCGGGAGGAAGCCTGCTACGCGGAGTCTGTATTGTCATAGACCTGCCAGAGGGCGTGCCGGCCTTCTGGCCTCTGGAGCAGACGAATTCCACCTCAGCCTAACCAAGAGACTTTCCTCCCACGCGCCCGCCCAGACCCACTTTCCCCAGGCCGCCTCGGCTGCCCTCGCCCCAGCAGCCAGAGAGACTTCTCCTCTGGATCTGCAGTATTCCATTCCATCTACCTGGCCTGCCCAGTGAAGTGAGATGTTTCATACGTGCCGTGTGGGTCAATGGCTTGCCACACTCAGGATGTCAGTGAGGGCACAGGGCTTCCATGCCCAAGATTCCAAAGGCCACGCAGCCCGCGTGTGCCTGGATGCAGCGCTACCTGGCGCAAGCCCCGAGGGCTTCTCAGAGGAGGCATAGCTCGGGAGGTTGGGACTGCAGGCCAGCCTAGGTTGCTGCTGCCCGGGGAGACGCCCACCGCCCTCGCACTGACTGGCCGCCAGGGGAGAACCGCGGTCTTGGAGGGGCTCCTGGTGCCCTTTGGTCTCCATGTCTTCCCGCGGCTCCCTGCGCCCTTTGCGTGCAGTCCCTTAGGGGGCGCCTGCTAGCCCGGCGCATGCGCCCTGAGGGCCCGCCGTCCCACCGGCTGCGGTGAAGGGCAGCGGCAGGGTTCCTGCGGTGAGGGTCCGGCAGCACAGGCGGTGGTCAGTGGGAGTCCGAAGGGGGGCACCGTCTTCAGGATGGAGTCTCTACAGGAGGGGGAGGCCGGGGCGCAGAGCGAGCAGGTAGCTTTGGGGGAGGAGGCGGTGCTGGGAGCGGATGACATAATGGCGGAGGTGGAGGTGGTGGCCCACCAGGAAGCCGACGAGAAGCGGCAGGAGCAGGTCCAGCGGGCACAGCCTGGCCCTGGGCCCATGAGCCCAGAGTCTGCACTGGAGGAGCTGCTGGCCGTTCAGGTGGAGCTGGAGCCGGTTAATGCCCGAGCCAGGAAGGCCTTTTCTCAGCAGAGGGAAAAGATGGAGCGGAGGCGCAAGCCCCACCTGGACCGCAGAGGCGCCATCATCCAGAGCATGCCTGGCTTCTGGGCCAATGTTGTATCCTTTGCAGTGTTTCTTCTGCTTTTCCAGTTGAGAGGTGCTCTTGGGAAGTGTAAGGAACTTACGGGCGGCTCGGCGTCGATGTGACCATTTGGGGAACACGGGTGAGTGTCCACAGACAAATGTGGCTGAAGAAAGCCAGAGCAGACACGGGTACTATTTTCCTGCGTGCGTGAGAGAAACGCTTCATGGTGCCAAGCAGCAGACGTTTGGGGCATCTTTCTGAAGAGCAGAAGCGAGTTCTCAGCAGAACACGTGTTGCTGTGAATCAAGCTATTGTTAAGGGACTGTGACTGCTCCGCCTTGCCAGTCCGATCTGGGACTGGGCTTCTTCGGGTATGAGCAGATTCTGCCAGGCCTCAGACACCGGCAGTTCTCTGCATATCGCCCCTCCCCGTGTCAGTGCGGTCAGCCTCACAATGATACACCCTCGGTGAACCCCGAGAGGTCTGAATTCAGGGGGAGGGAGAGGAGAAAGGGAGGTCATTCATGGATGCAGATCTGAAAAAATCCCCTAGCCGCCCCTCTGGGTGCTCTTAGGCCTTCCCCGTTGCTTCTAGCTTTTCTTTCCGTTGCATCTCAAGGCTCTTTGACCTCAATCAGATTGCAAACCACCCTCAGATGTCGGCCCTGCTCACTGACCAAGATGAAGACATGCTGAGCTACATGATCAACTTGGAGGTGAGGCCGGGAAGACTAAGGCTGGAGGGTTGAGTGGGGGAGGGCAAGGGACATAATTTATTCCTGCAGGCAACAGTGGGCACCTCAGCCAAAAAGGTGTTTAAGCTTTCTCCACCTTGTCCGGACAGGTGAAAGAAGCGAAGCATCCCGTTCATCTCTGCCAGATCATGTTGTTCTTTCGGAGTAACCCCTACTTCCAGAATAAAGTGATTACCAAGGAATATCTCGTGAACGTCACAGGTGACAGGTGGCTCCCAGGATGGGTAGTGGAAGGAGGAAGGTGGGTGGATCAGTGCCAACGTGTTCCAGCCCCCTTACCAAAACATCCTCTGTCTGTAGAATACAGGGCTTCTCATTCCACTCCAATTCAGTGGTGTCAGGATTATGAAGTTGAGGCCTATCGCCGCAGACACAACAACAGCGGTCTTAACTTCTTCAACTGGTTTTCTGACCACAACTTCGCAGGATCCAATAGGATTGCTGAGGTGGGTCCTTGCTGGGAAACATGAGGAATGACCCCGGTGTGTTCCCAGCTGCTTGGGTCACCAGTCTGAGCTCTCATGAGGCCTTTTCCGGTTGATTCCCCTGACAGATCCTATGTAAGGACCTGTGGCGCAATCCCCTGCAATACTACAGGAGGATGAAGCCACCTGAAGAGGAAACAGAGATTTCAGGTGAGGCGTACAGTTGGAACTGGAGCTGTCTGATACCCGGGATAAGGGTGTTGACACACCTCTCTATTCAGGGAGCCTGGAGGCTCATTTCAGAAATGTAGAACCTGGGGGTCCGTCTTATCCATGTGGAAATTCCTTGAGAGGAAGACACAGCATGACAGAATCCAGGACATTCATGGCATTGGGCTGAAAAAGGCACATGAGACACTGCACTGCAAAGCAGGTTATAACTGTGGAGTCTTAAGCCCGGGGAAGCATAGTGCGTGTCCACACTCACTGAGAAGTAAAGCCGAGTTATTACCTTCAATCTGTGGCACTTGGTTCCATGGCCGTCAACCCGACGGGGAGTCATCTTACCAACCCCTAAAGCTTGGGCTCCCGGAATGTGCCTGGTTGTCCTCCTTGCCACAGACCACAAAGGACTGTTTAGATCGATGGATTTCCTTAAGCTATTACCCCATCGGATTTCCGTGTGCTTTTGGTGTACAACGCGTCTTGTTAGCTGACTCCTGTCACAGAGAATACTGGAAATGGGGCAGGTATTGCAGAGAATAGTTTGTAACACATGCACGGCAGGAGGAAGTTGAAGAGATCACAAAAGGGGAAGGGGTAGTCTTTTCTCAGCAGGCCGTAAAATTAAAACATTTTAAATGGTGGCTCAGAGGAGATGCAATTTGACATGTGTTTGTGTTTCTCTAGGGAACGCGCAGATGTTGGGTTGAATATGATGGAGCGTCGGACACAGGTGCTGTGTTCACCTAACACGGCAGAACTCCTGAAAACTTACTACAGTATGCAGGATGTCAGCACTCAGCATGGTCTTGTGCACAGGAACTAAAGGACAAGCAGATCCAGTCACAGCAAATGAAGACAGGAAGCGGGGTGGGGGAATTGAATTGTAAGGAATAAAAAATAAACAGTATTAAGGATGTGTGGCTCTGTGTGTGTGTGTGTGTGTGTGTGTGTGTGTGTCTGTGTGTCTGTGTGTGTGTGTCGGTTGATCCCCTGGATTCCGCTGTCATAATGAATTGATCAATCTATATGTTTGATTCTCTTCATGAAAATGACCAGTCTGTGTGGGAGCTGGGCCTCTGAATTTGTAGAGTGAATTGGTGTGAAATGTTTTGGGATTCTTTCTATAGCACAGAGTTGGGGAGGTACAAGAAACAGAAGACAGTTAAGTTGACAGCTTACTTCATCCTATGGAAGCAGAGATAGTTCAATGACATTGGGTGATGGACACTGAGATATCCAGGGCCCAGTTTGCTGGGGTAAGGTACCTGCAAAATCCTTCATTTTGGGTATCATCAGTCACATTAAGATAGCACAGGATAATGGAAATGTTAACGTTATCTTTCGTGTCGAATTCACAGCTTATTTTTCTTTAAAGGCGAATGCATAATCTTTTTCTGGGACAATCAGCCTCTCAGGACTTCTCACACACCAACGTGAGAAGAAATGAGCACATAAGGTATATGGAAGCCTTATGGGAATGGTTTCAGAGGCATATGAGAAGACATTCAGGATACGCCCTTTTTTTTTTTTTTTTTTTTTTTTTTTTTTCTGGCGTAGGTGACTAAGGCAAAACACAAACATGCAGAAGTGAGGGGAAAGGTGGTGGATTTGTGGAATATAAGATTGCCTGAGGATCCATGCCTGGACTGTCTGTCACTTGATGACCCAGAATATGGACGATGTTGTTGATGTTTACATCTTTAGCTGGGTTAAGCTTTTCTCCAAGATGCTTCTTTAGGTGAGGAGGCGAAAATGTACGTAGCTAACACCAATGCGAGTGCATTTTGTGCATTTTTTTCTTTACGATTTTCCTTAAATTTTTATTAAAGCAATGACCTGGTCTATTAAATATAATACTATAATGTACAAATCAAACCTGGACACTTACCATAACTCTGATACGTAAGAAATTCCTCTTGGATGGTCAGAATGATCTCTACCACGTCCCCCAACGTTGCCGTCACGGTCACTACATTTACGACAGGTTTGCTACGGTCAGCAGGAACATCTTCAGAAAACCATTTGACAGAACCGGAAACTATTATAGTACCTATATCCTCCAGAGGAATGTTCATCCCGACTAGAATAACCATAATCATGGTATCCATAACCTCTAGGTGGTGGACCATCATCCCTGGTGTCTCAGGAACTCGTATGAATTCTGCTTCCGTAAGTTAAAGCAACAAATTCTAAATTATCAACTTCTCGTATCCCAAACATAACTAACTTACAACTTAAACACAATAAAGGACCAAACACACGAATAGTTGTTTCTCCAAATACTATATGCAAATGCTCAAAAGGCACATGGAAGAAATCATCATAATTAGTTATTCAGAAAATGCATTTCAAAACCAAAATGAGATAGCATACTTCACACACACTGGAATGGGAATACATTTTAAAAAGCAGGAAATATCAAGTGTTTGAGAGGACGTAGATAATTTGGAACCCTGACACAATGCTAGCTGGAATGGAAAATGATGCAGCTACTATGAAGAAATGTGGTGGTTCCCCAAGAAAATAAACACAATTATCACAGGACCAAGCAATTCCATTCTCACATACTGAGAAATGAATAAGGGTGCCCAGACAAATAGGTATGTAGAAATACAGTGGTGGAAACAACCCAAATAAAATAATGGGTCAGCAGCTTGTGTAAGGAAAGAAGTGCTACAATGTAAACGATCCTTCAGGGCATCGTGCAAAGGAAAGGAGACAGTTATAAAAAGTCCTGTATTGTTTGAGCCCACCAACATGAAATACCCGGAACAGGTACCTTCAGAGGCAGAAAACAGATTGCTGTTTGTTAGGGGCTGAGGGAAGGGAGAAAACGAAAGGAACTGCTTAACGGGTAGTGGGGTTGTAGTTTGGAGTGATGAAAATGTTCTGGAACTAGATGGAGGTGGTTGTTGCACAACACAGGTTGTATTAAGCGCCACTTAACTATTTACCTTAAAATGTTTAATTTTGTTTTGTGAATTTCATCACCACAACAAAAGTCAACAATTTTTCCATTTTTCCTTTGCCTATCCTTTGTTGCGTGTAACCCTCATCTCTTGGTGACACATGGTCGTTCTCTGGGAGGAGCCTGGCTCTCTGCGTGAAGGACCTCCGTAATTCTCTCATCCACATGACATGGGACATTGAATGTTAAAATGATTTCATATTATGTAAAGAACACAGATTCTGAAACACAATATTTTTCTTGTCTAAAACCACTTTTTACAATGATTTCTTGTATGACTCTGTCCTTCTTTCCCTAAATTCCTAGACTTCCGTGACAACTAAAACATTTCTCCCGGCTTTGGATAATCCCATGGCTCCACAAGGCCTGTTCTACCAACGAGCTGAAGGCAGACATTAATTCTTAAGTCAAAGTTCATTTTTAATTGTTAGTAACCAGTTAGTTATTATTTTTCTCAGATTACTATACATAAGATTTTTTCCATACCTACAAGACCAAGCAACTTTCAGTTTCTACTAAAACTTAAAATATAAAAGTATAACTGTGAACAAAAAATGGACTTTCTGCTATGTACCAGGAAGTGTGCTAGACGTAAGAGAAATAAAAGCAACAAGGAAAACTTAAATATGTACTTAAGTCAATTTAACGATCAACACATTAATACATGGTGCAGTGAGGACAAAATACCCACAATTTACAGTGAAGAAAAACATGTAAAATGTAAGCTGTTTTTGAAGCATAAATGGCTATTTGTGAGACACACGCTGGGAAGATTAACTCTCAAGAAGTCCAGCAAAGCACGTTGGTGATAGCATAAAGAGTAACGGGAACTAACAGGAGATTGGGGTGATGCAGTAAAACAGAACAACTTGAAAGTGTCCAGAATGCAATGATTTTCATGGTAATATAAAGGAATTCCGTACGTAATAGAAGGACACAACTCTTTAAAGCTGCGATAAACACACAATCCCCAGAATTTAAGATTCAATAAGACAGAGACCATTGGTTGGATCAAAATAAGTCCTCAAACACACTGGGAAAAAGGAGTCATTAGGTATTCATGTTACAACAAATCACTGCGTTAACAGGATAACAATATTTGTAGGAGAGAAAGAGCAAGGATGGGGCAAAAATGCCAGTTAGTCATTCTGTTACCCAATTTCAATCTTCTCATGTTCGTTTCTACTTTCAAGTACTTAACACTTCCTTAAATGTAAAAATCTGGTTGAAATATACTTTCTCAAGAATGTATTTTCAGAAAATGTGAAAGAATCTTTTCTTCTTGTGAGTCTGTCTTGGTGTCTCTCTGTAGACATTTTCCACCTTGTAAGTTTGTCTAGCTGTCTATCCATAGCTTGTCTATGCTATAGATGTATTTCCATGAATTGGAACTAAATCCATTAATAGCTTTTAGGAAATACTGACTGATTTCTCTCCTTTCTGTGAGAGTTCCTTCTAAGTTTTAATGCTGCTTGAAAGCTTTGAAGATCTATTTACACTTGTATTGGAATACTAACATACAAACAGGACTGCCATACGTTCATTTACGTAACGTTTATTCCAATATCCTTCCAACTACACTTGCACTTCCTCAGGCAAAAAGAAGAGGATATCTAAAGCATTTCAGATCACATGACATTACGCCACCTTCAAAAGTTTAGTAATACCAAAAAGATCCTGAAATGCTGTTAAGTGAAAAGCAGTTTGGAGATTAAGAATAAGGGACGGTTACATCTCCATTCATATCCTCGACAGCATTTTTAGCATCTGCAGCGTTCTCAAAATACATGCAAAGCATTTGAGCTTGCTGATTTCCCCTTCATTTCACAGAAGAACTAAATTATGTGAAAATATCTTACATTTATATAATGGACTCAACGGAGTACTAAGAAACCAAAAACGAAATTGCATTTCACATCATTACTGTGATTCTTACTACTATGTCATCTCAATCGTCAGCCTATTTTATTCCAATTTGTTCTCCACCTCCACAACACACTTACTTTTGCTCATTTTCCTTTCTCAGCAACAGGTGACCTTTACCACAGACCCTTCACCTGCTGCCATGAGAATTTTCCCAATATGAAATATAAACTTGAAAATTACAGTTTAATAACAAATAACTATTTCAACTTATGTCTCCAGTAAACATATTAACTATACATTTACTTTGGAAAAGTAGAGATAAATAGCACCGACATATTAATGTGTATGTATATGCATATATACACACGTATACATACATACACACATATATATACACACACACATACATACATACAACACACATACACATACACACACACACACACACACATAAACAAACATATGTATAACAGTTGCCTGCCAATATGGGAACATATTTCCCAAATATTGCTTTAGGCGTCTTTTCATTGGTTTCTAAATGGAGGCCACCAATGTTAAGCTTGGCAGGCCGATCTGCTTCCGTCAGTTTGCTGTAAATGGTTAAAAAAAAAAAAAAAAAAAAAAAAAAGTCTATATTTAGGTAATCATAAATAAGCCAAAAAGATAAAATTTTGTTACACACTCTGTTGAAAACTCAAGTGAGATTCCCTTACAGAGGCTGACAGCTTTCTAGTAATTCTTCTTTTTTTTTTTTCATGAAATGACCGTGACTTTTACAATGCAAAACTGGAGATGTTTACTGAGCACATGCATTAAGGGATCAAACACGAATTCCATTATTCAAATTCTGTGAAAAGTTTTCCAGGATTAAAAATAACACCTCAGAATAAATTAACCCACCACACACTCTGTAGGATAATGTAGCCCAGCTCTGTCTTACAATTTATAGCCCTTTTCATCTTTGTATTCACATCATTCATTTATTTGTTTCAGTGTCCCAAGTTATATGAAAGAATGTGTCATCTAAAAAAATAACATTCTTTGTTCAAAGTGACCTGCCACATTACTTGTTATGAATTG